TGCCGATTCAAAAACGCTCTATCTCAGCTTATTTTCAATGTATTTTCCTTTGAGATAGGGCGTTTTTGAACCGAATTCTGAGATAGGGCATTATTCAACCAATTCTGAGGTAGGGTGTTTTTGTCAATAATATTCTGAATTAGGGCGTTTTTCAATCAAATTCTGAAGTAGGGCGTTCTTGAAAAGTTTTCTGAGATAGGGCGTTTTCGAACTGGCTGCCAAGATAGGTCGATCTTCCACTCAGCCATCGATATGTACCTAAATACGTTCAAAATGGCGTGCACAGAGTTTTACAATTATATTAAGGAAAAGACAGAAGTTTTGAAACGAGTTCACAGCAACGAAAAATATGGCTGATAAATATTTTAATGTTATCTGGTACTTATATTTTTTTATTGGCTCGGAGGCTCTTTAATCAGATCACAATTTCTAATCAGATCTTTTAGAAAAATTTTTAAAATGTAGCTTTTGAGCCAATTAATAAAGTGCAAGTCTGAAGTTGCCAGCAAATTTCGTTGATTTTTAGCATTTATTTTTTTTTGCTGACAGTGTCTTCCATATCAAAATAATTATCGAACATAGTTTGTATGGAAGAAACTCTCAGTAAAAACAATACCAAAAATCGACTAAAATTTAATGGGCTGCAAAACTTCATTTTAAACACTTTTATAAAAAGTCTGATTAGAATGTTGCAAATTTGTATGCAAATTTATTGAATTTGCCCGAGCTTAGCACAAAGTTTAACAATTTTATTTTTATGTTGTTTCATATATTTAGTATAAACTGTATTTTTATAAAGAATAAAAAAGGTTCGTGCATTGTAAGAAATGCTCTGTGCTTTAGCTGTGATAAGTTGTTTTGTTTTGTTGGTGTACGTTGTAATGACCTCATGATCTCATGTTTTTATGTTTTTGTTTTTGTNCTTAGCACAAAGTTTAACAATTTTATTTTTATGTTGTTTCATATATTTAGTATAAACTGTATTTTTATAAAGAATAAAAAAAGTTCGTGCATTGTAAGAAATGCTCTGTGCTTTAGCTGTGATAAGTTGTTTTGTTTTGTTGGTGTACGTTGTAATGACCTCATGATCTCATGTTTTTATGTTTTTGTTTTTGTCTGTCAAAATAAAATTTCCCTACATCCTTTCTCACGTCGAAATGAAAGAGAAGGGAGCGAGAGGCCCTCTCTAAAGTGTCCCGGTTTGGCAACAGAGATATCTGGCAGCCCTAGGTTAAAGTACGTGTCAGTCACTACGTTTTCTCAGGTCCTCTCGTTTTTATTTTCGTTTCCTCTTTCACTTTTTTGTGTTTGCTCTTTCTTTCCGCCTTCTGCATCCAACTTCAACACGTAACGCCCTGTCAAAAATGAAAATTCCATTTGCTCGGCGTTAGATCCGCGTTATTGTGGGATGCTTCATACAAACTGTATGGGCATGAGGATTTTTGACAGTTGGCAGTAACTTCACTTCCACTGTAGTAGCGGCCTTATATACCTGTGCTCGCACTCATGGCAAATCTAGAACGTTCTGAAGTTTATAGGTTTGTTCGTCCAGCAATAAATTTGTACGAATTCGTACGAATTATCGTGGTTTTTTCTCAAATCGCGTTCGGGCAGACCAAAAAATTATCCATCACTCAAAAACTGTGAGTGCAAAGTGGCAGTTCCCCTGAGAGAAGTTGCAAATTCTTGCTGAAAAAATTTTAGCCAGCAATCACGAAAAACATGTTGCATTTTCGTCTACGATAATTTGAATAAATAAGTTCGTTAAATTTAAAAATTTATAAACACGAGCGATTTTTTATGAAAAAAGGAAGTAAATACTTGTTGATATAATTGATTTAGTTAATTCCAGTGATTTGAACTTAACTCGGCTGAAAAAATTGTATCCGCAATCGGAATGCAATTGCAACCAGAGTCGATTTAAGAAACCTGACAGTACGAAAAAGGAATTGAAATGTATGTATATTAAAGAAAGTCAGAACAACAAGAAATATACATGTATATACTGTTTTTGTCCATCTGAAAGAATTTTAAAAATTCTGTAAAAATGTATTATGTTTAAAATGCAACCGTGGACGCCAGCAGGCAGGAAAACTTGCGAATTCCTGCAAATTTGCGTTCGTGCAGAAATTTGCAAGTTTCTCAACTTGAGAGAGAATTTGAGATAATTTTTTCTTACTCTCTGATATTTAGATTCTTGCTGGATTTTCCACGAACAAACTTTATGGCACATTCTCTCATTAGCTCGCTGATCGCAGTATTCATCCACTTGACGTTTCTCGCTGTTGAATATTCTACGTCATTCCTCGAACATTCTACCATTTTCTCGTTGTTCTATACGCGTTGCCGCAGTATTCGCCACGATTCAATAAAAAAAATGCCAAAATTCCTGCAAATACATTAAAATTTACAAAAGGAATTTCCCTACTAAGTGCCTACTTTGTAAATGCAAGCTTTTGTAAGGGAGTGTCAAACCGCGGCTGTCAATAATGATCTAACCTTTAAGGCCCGTCCACATACAACTTTGGCTTTGCGCATGATTCAATAATACAAGGTTCGATAAACTGACAGTTGTCTCTCTCGCACCGCTCCCTTAGCAGTGGCACCGTGTTGCTTCTTTGCAAATTTACATGGAAACAGTGTACCTTTGGTGTGAAATAGAAGTATAAGTTTTTGGGCAATATGTTTATCTGTATATGCATATGAAGCATATTTAACTGATGAAAACATAAGCTGTTTTTAAATTGGATGTTTACATCAATCTCAGACTACTATTTTAATTTTGAGTCATTTTGCAGTTTTTATACAACTAAATAGCACATAAATTACGTATTTCAATATTACGTTCAACATTTCGTTTAAAATGCCAGATTTCCTGCAAATACATTAGAATTTACGAAAGGAATTTCACTACTAATTGCCTACTTTGCGTACTTTTCTACTACCATTTTC